GTCTATTCCTAATCCTTATATTTGTTATGGAGGACCAAAATTAATACTCTAAGAGGTTAGAAAAGTGCACCACAAACTATGAAAACAAGTAGAAGCATCTTCAGGCTTAAATATATATATACATATATATATATACAAATATATATATACATATATATACGTATATATATGTATATATGTATATGTGTGTGTGTATTCAACTTTTAAAGTTATTCAACTTATTTTTTAAATACTTATTTGCTTTTTAAAACTCAATAATATGAGAGTTTAAGAAGTTTATAGTAAGGATTTGAAATGTCCTGGTTGTATTTTAAATCCTATGTGTAAATATGCTTCTCTGTGTGGGTTTGTGTGTATTGGCACTGGTGCCCAGAGAGGCCAGTGCTCCTGGAGGGGGAGTTACTGGTGGTTGTGAACCTAACATGGGTGCTGGGACTCGAACCCAGTCCTATACAAGAAGAGCAAGTGCACGTAGCCACTTCAGCCCCTGTAAGCACTTTCTTTATTATTATTATTTTTATTTATTAGGGGAGGTCCTCCTCCCCTTCCAGCTGAGTACTTTCTAATGTTTACAATGTTCTTTGCCTTAACTGGAAGTTAAAGCTAATCACCAAAAGCCTCCAGGTAAATGTTAAAGTTGCATGTCTTAACCTGAACTTAGTGGACAACTGTTGTAAAGCTCAGTCAAGATATACACGTACACATGGGTTCATACATACATGTTCATGGCAAAGCAATCAGTCCAACCTAAGAGTTTGTCTTAGAACAAAAATGAAACCCAACCGACCTGAAAATGGTTATAAGGCAGGTGGGTGGTGGTGTACACCTTTAATTCCAGCATGCAGGAGGCAAAGGCAGGCAGATCTCTGTGAGCTTGAGACCAGCCTGGTCTACAAATTGAGTTCTAGGTCAGCCAGGGCTACACAAAGAAACCCTCTCTCAAGACAAACAAGCACACAAAAGTTATAAGGCAAATTAAGTTTATTATTTAGGGATAGAACTCCAGGAAAGAGGGGTCCTCACATTTCTTCTTTATACAGTATGTTGGATACAGTACCAATCAATTATTTACATAAATTTTCCCAGCTCACAAAGCACTTGTATGTACTTGACTTCATTTGGGGCATCAGAAGGCTATAGTATTGCTATTAAGCTCCAGTAGAAACCAAAGGTCACTTAGCTACCTGTGGCAGCATTGAAGACCCACCTTCTTTTGGTAGGTCCTCCATCAGGTTTGCTTCAGGACACTGTGTTCTTCCTCCTTGTAATACTGAACAGAGGACCTATGGGAAAACAGGGCACAATAGAGATGGGGGACCCTGATGCAGAAAGATACAGTTGAAACTCAGACCCTAGATGCTTGTAGGTGATCCGTTGTTGTAGAGCATCTGCAATGGTTTGTTTTTAATGGGATTACTTTAAAGGCCTGGACAATTACACAGTAAGGAAACTAGGAATACATTATTAAACTTCTTGTGACTTTTGTGTTTCCTGTTTTTAGTGTTGGGCACTCTTAAATGCCTATAGTTACCTACAATATGCTACTTTTTCCTAAAGAAAGGACAAACTGTAATTTCTGACAGTTGCTTTATTAGGAAACAAACATGAAAGTAGGCAGGCCGTAGGAGATGTCTCAGTCTTATTTTGTTTAATAAAAACATAATCTGGTTGTCTTGCTGTTCTGTTTTGAAGGGGGTGTGGTTTCAGTTTTAAGCCAGATGGGGTTCTTATGCACATCTGTAATGATGAAGAAGGTAGGAAGTGTTCCGACTAGGAATTGTTGTTGACCAGGATTAAAGAAACAAGTTCATACTTTAAGGGAACTTTTGTTTCTCATTTCAAAAGTCAGATGAGTTTTGCATTCTTTGGAAAATGAAGAGCAAGTCAGGCCGAGGGGAACAGGGTTTAGTGTGCTGTTGGACAGGTAAGAAATGTCCTTTTCGTAATGAGGCAGAGATGCTTCCTCATATGCACTGATGGCTCTTGGGAGTGGACAGCCTCAGGCAGGTGGTGTGAACCCTTGTCACCGAGTCACCTGCATGTAAGGAGAGAGGCTCTCACTCAGAACAACCAGATCAGTGGAGAGCAAGCACTCAGCGGGGATGAAGTCTGTAAAGCGTTCAGAGTCGTTCATTCAGGACTTCATCACTCCCACTTGCAGAATCTAAAGCCACACAGAACATTAGAGGATGAGAACTATGCTTCTGAAGGTGAGGGGTGCACATGGAAATCTTAGCAGAACAGGTTAGTCTATTTCTGTCTCCTACGAAGACCGTTCACAAAAGGAAACAGAAAATGACATGGCCCATTCTTGCAGCTTTTCTGAGGGTGTTCAGGAATAGTGATTACTGCCCTAAAAGGAAAGGAAAAAAGCTGATTCCCGTTACTGGCTCCTTATCGATCGATTCAAGTCCACTAACTCATCAGCTTCTGTGATGTTTCCCTTTCAAGTTTGTTTTTCTACACCATGCAAGATATAATATAGTTAATTTTACAGTTAATAATGTAACTCATCATGATATAACAGAAATACTAGGTGATCTAGAAAGTATTGCTTGTCAGCCTGGAAACAGACACACAATGGCTCTGATGTTTTTATTTGAACAAATAAATAAATCAACAAGTCTTTGAGTACTTTAATTTTTTTTTTAAGTCACACGCACTTCTGAAGCATTTGCCAGACAAGCGTTTCACTTTATTCTCTTTCAACAAAAGTGATGGATAATTGTGTTTTTTCACGAGACTGAGGAACAGCTTGGGCCTCCCTTCCCACCCCATTCTATTTGACAGATCTTATACAAGGAACTAGAAATTACTGACATTTCACCACTGACCCTCACATCCTCTTTTTCAAAAACATTTCCTATTCCAGTTATTTATTCCTAGACTAGTCTCACTGCAATTGAAGTTACTAAATAAAACGCAGGGTCTGTTTTAAGCTAAAATGTATAATTTTTCTCAAGTCTTATGACTGCAGGCAGTAAAAAGGGTGAAGCAGATATCGTCAAATGTCTTGCAGATTCAAGGTGACAAGTCAATTCTGATCCTAACTAGTAATGTGATATCTCAAGAAACATGCAATGGAAGCATTTAAGCAGAACCAATTTTGTGCAATATATTCTATTTTGAAATAGAAAGTGACCCATGATGATAGTATTTTTGACAAAATTTCATGGGGTTTTATTATTATTAGAATTTTTAAAATTAGGAAATTTGTTTAGCACATCTCTGGCTGCAACACTCTGAAATGTAAATAGGAATCTTTGAAATTATATTTTTATAAGTGTTATGTGATGAAAACTGTCTATTACTCCCTCTCCTTGTTTTATCACGTTGGTGATCTGACCTCTGGCCCGATTTGTGCAGAGAGCTGGGAAGAACCAAATAAAATACTCTGGTGTGATACTGTATTTTTGATTTGACCCTTCCAGTCCAGTCAACAAAAAAACAGACCCACCACTGTCAAACCTCATTACACTGCTACATCTGTGAAAAATAGACAAGATACAAAAGCTCCACCAAATTTACACTTGAAAATCTGACTGTTAACACGTTTCCTCCCATGAAGGGTGGACAGACAGCTCCTTGGCTTTTAGTACCTTCTATTATCTTCTAGTGGACTTTCTTATTGTTGATATTCTTTGCAGGGAGTGTCCTGGGTAACAGGCATGTAATTTCACACAGAACTGAACTCTAAAAGCATCTAAATGATCAGAAATGCAGCATGCCAACAACAACAATAACAGTTTTTAAAAATCCACTGCGATTGTTAAGACTTTAAAAATCACTTTGAACCCAAAATATCAAAACTCACATCCACAGGTGATTGAAATCATGGAGTTCTGTTGTTTATCAAATACTATTTCTGATACAGTTCCCTGGGAAAAGATATTTTCTATGAACAATATTTGGGGTCTTAGGTTACTTTTAAAACTCTATGGGATTTTTAATTCCACATACAGGCTCTCCTCACTGCATCCTGGGCTACAGCGTTCCAATAATAAATGTTCAAAACTCTATAGTTTGCAAAGAAGCAAAAAGCATTCCCTAGCTACTAAATCCTTCCCACCCCGTGACAGACATGTGATTAAAACTAAAACTTTGATGAGTTATGCTTATTTTACTTGGCTTTTAGTTGATTAAAAAATATATTGGTGTTTTGGACAAAATTATACAAACATTCCAAGACAGGAAGGACTTGGGTTTTTTTGTTTTTTCCCATGTAATTTTTGGGATCATATCATGAACTAAAACCTAGCAAATCACTAAAATCCCACTGTAGGAAATCCCACTCTGTGGTGTGCGATTCTATTACGTTTGCAAAAGCGACTGTCGTTTCTGGAACCTCCGTATTTCACACGCTCTGAACTTAGTACCTTTCTGTGTCAGAACACATTTTCCCTCTACCTGGAGCACTGTGTACAAGTTGTCTTTTGTTTTTGCTCTTCGAGACCCAGTTTCTCTGTGTGGTTTTGGCTGTTTTGGAGTAGCTCTTTAGACCAGGCTGGCCTCGAACTTTGCCTGCCTTTGCCTCCCGGAGTGGTTCGTTTATGTTTTTCACAACTCTTTTCTAAGTCACCTCTGAGGGTGAATCCTCTGCTGCCCTTAAATCGAAGGGTGACAGTTCCTAACTGACGGGGACCTTGGAACATAGAGTTCCTCCCGAGCCGGGCTCGCAGGCCTTCTGCAGGCGAGCGACTTTTTTTTTTTTTTTTTTTTTTTTTTTTGGCCCGTTCTCGAATCCACATCCACGATCGCTGAAATCCCGCTCCGGGTTTTCGCGCAGCCCGCGTGATTGACACATGATATCACCGGGGGCGGGTCCCGGCGTGGAGGTGGAGGTGGCGGCGACGCTGAAATGCTGCGGAGCCCGCGCGCGAGTGCTCAGCACGCAGGGGTTGGCGGCGGCCCCGCGGCCGGAGCTCTGCGGGCCGAGGAGCTGCTGCGGGCGGCGTGCACGTACCGGGAGGGCGGGCCGCAGGCTCTGCGCTAGGCGAGCGCCCTCCCCTCCCGCCGAGGACCTGGGGAGATCAGGTGAGAACGGGGCTTTTTTTGTCATCTTCAAGGAACCGGACGTTTTCTGAGCTGGCTCCAGCTCGGTGCCCGGCGCTCTGCGGTCGGCCCTGCAGCGGCAGAGCTCGCTCCTTTCGCTTCCCCGTAGCCGGGCGGCGAGCTCCGCGTGTGCGGACGCGGGCTGGCACCGCCGCGCACCCGCGTGTCCGTGCGCATTGTTGGCGATCGAGCCGCCGGGCGCTCGTGCCAGCCCTGACCTTCCCGTCCGTGCGTGCGTGCGGGCTCGCCTGGTTGGCGCAGACGCGTCTCCGGGACGCGCTTTTGACCGTGGGGGCGAAACGTGCCCGGCCGCGTGCGTCCGGGGGGCTCGCGGCTGCCCATCGCGGCGAGCGGGACGGCGTCCCGGGCTGGCGAGGGACTCACGTGTTTCTGTCTCTGCTCGTCTGCAGCCGGCGTGGCGACTGCGGGGACGCGGACCTGCGGGGAGCCGAGCGCCCGGAACGACGCCGGGCCGCGCGCCTGACGACCGGGACGGGACGGTGCTGTGGAGCGGGCGCCGCGCGCACCCGGCGGATGTCCCCGAGCCGCCCTCGGCCGCCGCCAGCCGCGGAGAAGCGCCCCTGCCCGGGGGCCGCGGAGGCCGCGGCGCGGGCCATGC